TGTTTGTGTGAGAGAGAGAGAGAGAGAGAGAGAGAACTATTTTATGTAAATTATATCAATAGTTTTCGCAATAATTAGTGTATTTGCTGTTTTTATTTAATGTGATTTTATTAAACAATACTGTACTTCAATTTGTTACACAAAACTTTTGTTTGGCACATTGTAGTTTGGTTTGTAATTTTGACACAAAAGCAGTTTTTATTTGCAGTAATTGTTATAATCTGAAGGATTGTTCATAATTACAGACTTGTTTATATACAAAATACAATTTCTTATTAAACCTGAAATTTATAAATAGCTGAAAATGATTGTATCTAATGATTGTAAATGTTTATTACTTTTACATAGTCCACGTCAATCAATAACTGAACTTATAAAAATTACCATACTTGTAATTTTGTAACATCTTACGAATTAGATTAAGTTTTACATTATCAATGAAATATAACCTAGACCACGGATGATCACAGACATATTTTCATTAGCCGTAATTGTTGTACAATCATTGAATCTAATATCTGAATAGTGTTAGTGAATACAAGGTCGCACATAAATAATAAGACAGATTTCCCCGTAGATTTCCCCCTGAGCTCATCCGTGACCTAGACAATTAAAAATTTAATAATGAATGTTTTCATTTAATTAAGTTAGACCACCAAAATTTTTATTAAAACAATTTACGTTAGATATACTAATTGGTAAACAAGTATATTAATAAATTAATGTGATTAATAATATTTTAAATATTAAATATATTCAATATACAGTATAATTAAAATTCTATGTTGGGTATAAACGTTCTAGAAATGCACTAACTTTCAATTACATTGATATTAGTCTATTTATTAATTATTGTGCATGTGTATTTCAGATTATGTTATTATATCATTAATAATCATGATATCAGTGAAACCATTTGTTAAAATCATAAAGGTCTAGCACCTCTTTATACTGGTTCTAATAATAATAATAATTTATAATAAAAGTTAGGAATACAATTGACTATAATTTCTAGTACAGTATTTACTAAACTATTAATATCAATGTATAATTGCAATATTGTAATTATATATAATTAAACGTGTAATTTATTAACAAAATACAATTGGTTTGATATATAAAATTAAACAATAAAAATAAACAACATTTTCATTATAAGATCACTGGATTTAATTAATAAATCATTGTTTGTCTATTACTATTGTTTTTGTATAGTCAGCATAAAAAACAATGATTTGACATAAAATGCATTTTATTTTAGTATTCCATACCTTGTAATGGCATTAAGAAAAATATCCTTAATAAACAATATTAATATTATAGATACACATGTCTTCATCCAATGTAGATGTTTAATAGGGTATTTAATATTCATTATAACTTTTTCCATTGGAATTATTAGATTAATAAAACAAAAATCAAGTTCAAATATAGAATTTGGTGCATTCATCATGATCATACATTTAATTATGTGCATTATACTATATAACTATAATAAACAAATTGTTTATTAAAAAACTTATCTCAAGACAATAACTTCATTACAACTTTTACTTTCTCTAGAAATACTTATTAAAAATACTATTTGTAACTTAATAAATATGTCCAAAACTCTTATCAATCAATTTGTTTTAGTGGTTTGCGCTTATATTTCAGGTAATATTATATTTAAAAATTAACATAATTTCTTAACTTCGCGGTCACACGTAGTAAATGGCCAGACATTACCACCGCTGGAGACATTGCCCACAGACTCTTCGTCTACGGGGCAGTTGTCGGGCGTGAATGGCATGAATATGTCGAGTATATACAGTCCGTTCGATGAGTGCTGTTTGAATGGCGCCAACAATAGTCTCGACGATCCCAATGTGGTCTATATCGGAGCCGTTGCCGTAAATTAATTTTTGTCTACTTTTTTACTTTTGTTTTATTTATAAGTTTATAAAAATACATTTATTTTGTTTTAAAGCTAAATATGGACAACGAGTGTCAAGTGGTCTGTCAGATACAGGTTCTTCAGTCATTTTCGTTGGCTATTGGTCCCTGTAAGTCATAAATACCTTGATAAATATTCAATTCTATTATTCTTATATCTAAGCGGTTGTGTAACTTTATTATAATTAAAGCACTAACATTTATATAATATATTATACTTATTATCAGTTTTGTAAACACATTTACAAATATTTATTTATTTAAATGTTTAATTAAGTAATTATTTATCTCTAGTCATAAGCACCAGGTCCGTGATTATAGGCAACATATACACAGCCTTTATGCCCGACAACTCAACATGCTCAAAGACAGGCGTAAGTACAGTCCTACTTGATCCAAATACTTTGATAATTAGTTCATTTATTTATCATTTATAAGAATAGATTATTAAAAACACTTTAATTACAAATGATTAAAAGATCAATAGCACAATTAACTCTTTATTTAAACCCATCTAGATGTGCATGGAAGGCTTGTGTAACATGAACATGACCACGGTTACCACCCCAATGCCCAAAACTACCATGGGCACCAATACGACCACAAGCAGACCCAATTCAATGACAACGGGCAATAACTCAACCGCACCCAAGACTAACGCCAACACAAATGTCCCTAAAAATTAATTTTAAATAAAATTGGATTGTTTTGTGTTTTGCAGTTAATTAATGATCATGTATTTGTGTAGTAATCCCTAAATACCCTCAAAATCCCTTCATATTCTGTGTAATTCAGTATCTAATCAATAGATTAATAGCAAAACATATACATAATTCACACGAACTTTTGCACTGAATATTATATACATGTATTACCAATATTTGCTAATCATTATATATGGTATTTGTTTTATTTATTAATGATTATTCTGAGTGAATGAATTGTAGTAGCTTACATTGCTTGTTTAATAAAAGTTAATTAAACCTATAAATGATATGAATTTGTAAAGTTGTTTTAAATAGTTTTTATTTAGTTTTATTAATTTACAACTTATAAATTATTGTTATAAATTATAACTTATAATGATGTGTAACTTAAAATATGGTAAGTTATTTTATATAAAATATTTTATCAAATAAATGTGGTAAATTATTCACAATATATTAAAATAAAAGTATATTTTAGATAATAACTTTACATTATAATTACATAATTTTGTATTAACTAGTATTATCAATTATTTTTGAATTCAAACAATAATTGTTGCAATTATGACACAAATATCTATTATTATTATTGTAATTGTAACATAAATTAAGATGATCGTCATAGATCACATTAATCTGGATAATCCAATAGATTAAACATATTTGGATCAGGTTTAAAATCATCTCGATGTTTATTAACCAGTTGATGGCATACCAGCCCTTAATCGCGATCATTATTATAATAGTTATATCGCATAACACATGAATTAACACAATAATCACAAAATAATATTTTTGTTTACTCCCATACTTAGAGGGCAATAAGAATATGGTAAATTCCACACATATTATTAAATTTGTTATTAAATTAATTGTGATAAACAGTGCACTAATTAAATCCATTGTTGATTTTGTTTTAGCAATATTTTGTTTTTTGTTTTGTTTTATTTCAAAACTTAACGATAAGGAAGCAAATTGTTTGTTACACTTAAACTCTGCTCTAAATAACAGTTTTAGTAATAAATACAATGACTTTACAATTTAGATAATGTTATACATCTACCGATAACTTATAAATTATTAATACTAACAAATAAAAAATTAATTTTATAATATAATACTGATATTTTAATAGCTTTCAGATAAATATTTTAATAGTACTCGGATATGAAATTAAATGAGTATTAGTTATCTCTTATTATAAACAAAACAATGTCAAAAATTTATTTAAAATAACACAGACTTTGATAAACTTGTAAGTTATACACGTAAAGCATGTTGTAATCTTATTTATCAATTACATTTGAATTAATTAAAAATGATTAATGATATTTATAAAAATTAACATTAATTTATTTTTAAAATTTTATTCATTGTTTTTATAGCAGGCATTCTTGCGATCACAATATGGTGTTTGTCAGTGACATTGTTGAGGGCTGAGTGTCCCGACCCAAGTATACTAACCCCATGTGTATGTAATGATGCAACACATGGTAAGGACCCAACCATAACGNATTCATTGTTTTTATAGCAGGCATTCTTGCGATCACAATATGGTGTTTGTCAGTGACATTGTTGAGGGCTGAGTGTCCCGACCCAAGTATACTAACCCCATGTGTATGTAATGATGCAACACATGGTAAGGACCCAACCATAACGTGTAGTAATCTTCCGAAAGGCTTTGATTTGACAAAAATGTTCACAAATGCGGCAAAAGTGGTGAAGAAAAAGACATTTTCGGTGATTCGCATCGAAAACAGTGAAATCGACAAACTTTCGGCCAAATTCCTGTCCACAATAGAGCCAACCGTAATGCAGATCATCAATTGCACACAATTGACATATATCAGTCAAAATAGTTTTGGCCGTATGTATGCGACATTATTATCTATATTATTTATCTATTACTAACTAACTAACAGTTGGTTAATTAAGTACAACTAAAATAGCTTTGTTTAAAACAATTAATTAACTATAATTATCAACACAAATAACCATGATAATTATTACATAGTGCAGACACCGTTCGTGCAGGAGTTTGTGATCGAGAACAGTCCGGTGACAAACCGGGCGCCCAAACGGACCGAGATTTTTGACGCGTTCAACCATTTGCCGTGTCTGAAGACA